CTAATTATTCCAAATCGTTTGAAAAATTAAGAAGCTCAGAAATTAATTATTATCGGGGACGGTCAAAATTGGGTGTCAACATAGGGTTCTGAGTTTCATGCAAAGGACTAAGAAACGATTCCATGAAAATATGATAATTCGATTAAGAATACTATAACAACATATCTAAGGTTTTAGGAACCCTAGGTCTAAGCAGGATATAAAGAATCAAGAATCTGACTGAATTCTAGGGACCTAATGGATGAAAGAAATCCACTAGTGAAAGCCCACTTACCTGTTGACGAAATCTACGGAGAAATCCTTCGATTTCAAGGATGGAACGGAAGAAAATCTCCTGCATGTTCTTGAGGGTTTGGTCGACTCTTTCTCCTCTTTTTGCCCTAAGTTTTGATGAATTTTGGTGAATAATCATTTAAGGTAGGTTCTGACTAAATTACTGGGCTTAACTGAGTAAAACGACGTAGTTTAGGTAGGTGTAAAACGACGTAGTTTAAATGCCCAAAGAATAGGGAAAAGGACCAAAATGACCCCAACTTAAAATGTGACGGAGGCCGACCACGGCACCACTGACGGTCCGTCGTTGGGACCACGACTCATCAAGTGGGTCGTGGTTTTTGGCCACAGTCTACTGGTTCTGGGAGGTTCCTTCTACGGTTCACTTCATAGACCGTGTGAAGGACCACAGACCGTGAAGGCCACCCTGGTTCTTCACTTGGGGCTAGGGCCTACTGGTTCAGCTTCACGAGTCTCACCACGACCCGTGTTAAGGGCCACAGACCGTGAAGGCCACCGTGGTTCTTCACTTAGGCTGGGGTCTCCTGGCTCAGGACAACGAACCAATCCACGGTCTATCATCCAGACCACGTCCCGTGGTGGGCTGCGTGGTCAGACACTTGAGCCCTGGTGGCTATATCTTACCTCCACAAGCCTTCCCACAAAGAGTGTGGGGATCCATGGCCCGTGAAGGGTCTCGTGGTCCACCACTTCTGGGATGGTGTGAACCACGATGAGGATGACAGACCATGGTCCTGATCACGGCCCGTGAACTCCTCTGTTGTTCACCTATTTTCTGTTGTTCTGTCTGAACTAAGTTCCAAGGTGGTTCCCCAACTCATTACGGAGGTCCTCATAAAGTTTTTTCAAAAAAAAAATTGTGCGCTCCGAGGTGCCAGATCCATGGGCTAATGTACACGAAAAATTAAGAAATTTGGGTAATTCCTAAAAAAAGGCTTGTAAATGTATAAATAGGCGTTAAAAAATGGTGTGAGTATACACAGTGGTTCCCCAACTCATTACGGAGATCCTCATAAAGTTTTTTCAAAGAAAATATTTGAGTGCTTCGAGGCGCCAGATCCATGGGATAATACATACAAAAAATCAGAAAATTTGAGTAATTCCTAAAATAAAGGGCTTGTAAATGCGGTAATAGTCGTTAAAAAAATTGTGTGAGTATAAACAGTGGTTCCCCAACTTATTACGAAGGTCCTCATAGAGATTTTTCAAAAACCTAATTGGGTGCTCCGAGGCGCCAGATCCATGGGCTAATACACACGAAAAATTGGGGAATTTAGGTAATTCCTATAAAAGGACTTGTAAATGCGGAAATAGACGTTAAAAAAATGATGTGAGTATATGCGGTGGTTCCCCAACTCTTTACGGAGGTTTTCATAACGTCTTTTCAAAAAAAATAAAGTGCTCTGAGGCTCCATATCCATACGCTAATACACACGAAAAATTGAGGAATTTGGGTAATTTCTAATAAAAGGGCTTGTAAATGCGGAAATAGGCATTAAAAAAATGGTGTGAGTATACGCGGTGGTTCCCCAAGAGGTTCTCATAAAAAAAATTAAAAAAATTGGGTGCTCTGAGGCGCTAGATCCATGGGCTAATACACAAGAAAAATTGGGAAATTTGGGTAATTCTTAAAAAAAGGCTTGTAAATGCGGAAAGATGCATTAAAAAATAGAGTGAGTATATGTCACGGCCCAGGAGTACCACTTATATGTGACAAGGCATACTCAACCCCGAAAGGTCTCATGCATGCCCCTTAGCATATCATAACCTAAGATAAAAGAAATGAAACGGAATTTAAAACTTTATCCATACAATCGAAGTCTTTTAAAAAAGCAAGTGGAAGGGAGAATAGTCGAATCCAAGCTTGAACCAAATGAATATCACCTCAAAGTCCGGACCCTACACTTTGTGGAAAATGTAGGAAACTATGGGTTAGTACAAAAATGCACTAATTATGATAGCCATGCATAAAATCATGGAAACATGTTAAAGGGACATTTTAGTTGAAAAGCATGCACTTTACCAAGTTTGAAAATCATCATGAACTTTAGTGTAAAAGCATAAGTCATAAGCATATTCAACATATAGATCATCATAGCATAATAGAACCATCTCATAAGTAACCCTAAGTCATACTTGTGCAATGCATGGATAAGATCCCATAATCTCATCCATACTAAGTATCACTTTTAGGCCACCATAACCATACTCACCATTCTTTGATATCATCCTTAGTTAATACTCATAGACAAGGAAGCATTCACCTTTAACAAGTCATATCAAGGAAAGCAACTTATAGCAACAATCCAAGTTAAGAATATATCATTACAAATAGCCCTCATATCAACATACTTAGTAGCATCATCATAAGTATATTCATTTCATAAATCATTATAACATAAAAGGAACATACCATAACTACTCTCAAAGCCTACTTATGCAATGCATGAATGAGATCCCATACTCCCACCCACACTAAGTAGAGCTTCTTGAGAAGCCATAGTTCAAAATCATTCATTGTGGGGGTAAGCCTTAACCGACATAAACCATGTGAGCTAATCATGGAATCTGGTGTTACCCACATCGAAAAGGGTGTCCTACTTGCCTAAGGTAGAACCATTAACTTAGCTTAGGTGGATCCACTAGTTAAAGACCTATGAGGGCACATAGTTATGGGATAAGGAGATTGCTACTAGATACCCCGTCTTGACTCACGTATGGACATCCATCTCAAGAGATTAATTCTAGAACCCCGCCTCAACTCACATATGAGCTTCCATCTAGATCAATATCCACTCGATGCTTAGCATTATTCCCCACGGAGTACATATCATTTCATTGCTTGAGTCCATTATTATGGAAGAATGTATCAACACTCAATCCAACATCATTCATAAGATAGCTCCTAGATTCAATGGATGGGAATAGCCTTTCAACCTAAGAACCATCATATTATGAGAAAACCTTTCACAACATGTCATCATCATTCATAAGTGTATAATTGAGAATAGCCTTTCAATCAACACAACATCATTATCATAATCATGGAAACTTCATTCATAAGTGTGTGTGTGTTTGTGAGATAGTAGCCTTTCAACAACACCACAATTACATGATAGTCATAATCACTTTACTCTCAAAGTGTTCTTAAAGCATATACATAAATCTCATAATCATGCATAATCCGAAGCGCCAGATCCATGGGCTAATACACAAGAAAAATCGGGGAATTCGGGTAATTCCTAAAAAAGAGCTTGTAAATGCAGAAAAAGACGTTAAAAATGGTGTGAGTATACGCGGTGGTCCCATGCAAATGCAATCTAAAAAGTTGACATATAAAAAGGAACGAAGGGAGTATTTCTCAACTGGTTTTGTTGTTTCTCATACCTTTTTGAATCTTCCATTTGATCTTTGTATACTAGATACTTCTCTACTCTATGGTGCCGACAAGATTATGGTTACAATTAGTCGTTTTCTTTCTACTGATATTGTAATAGTTGCATTGTGGGTGAGCAAGTTTATGACCTTCGGCTGAATCATGTAAGCACTGGAGCAAACACCATTTGAAAATGTTAGTAGTAAGCTTATCCCTTTGGAGAATTTTACATCTTTGTCGGTGATGCCAGTAGTAAGATCAATATTGCCCATGATGCCAGTAGTAAGATCAATATTGTCCATCATATTTAGTGAAAGGTATCGCGACACAAGATACTATGGAGGAGACAGGTACATTGACATTACTGCAAGACTATGTCGAGAAAATGCTTTAGAAGTATTAAAATTTGATCCTGCCATACGGAGACTCAATGTGTGTTTGGTATGAAGGAAAATGTTTTCCTCGAAAACAAGGAGATTTTTGACTTATTTTCTCATGTTTGGTTGGTGAGTAGAAAATATTTTCCGGAAAAAGATTTTTTAGTGTTTGATTTATGAATAAAAAATATTTTTGAGAAATATCTTTTATTTTTACTAGAGTAGAAAATAGTTTTTGAAATTGAAAATATTTTTTAAAAACAAGCTCTAAAATTTTATTTTATTTTTTGAGGTGGGGGGGGGGAGGCTGGTTTGAGGGTAGGGACAAAATAAATTGATTTTTTCAACAACAAAATAAATTGTAATTTGAAGTTGGAGGAGTGTTTTGGAAAATATTTTCCTTAAGTTTTGAAGGGAAGTCATTTTCCTTAAATTTGAAGAAAATGAGTTGATTTGAAAAACATTTTCCGGAAAATGTTTTCCTTCATACCAAACACACCCTAAATCAATGTTCAGTTATTGCTCCTTACAAACTTTGAAGTGTCTATTGCTCCACCGGAACCGCATGAGAAATGTGCAACATTTTTTCAATATGCTGATTAGTGTTGGTACAAGTTCTTATGCTCGTCTATGTGATTATGTGTGTATCCGCAAGATAGGTAACAAGTAATTAGAAGTTATTTTCTTGGCGAATATGGCACATATCAATGGCTTGGTTGTTGCTAAGGTTATATGTTCTCCTGTTAAGTATGCAATTGTTGTTACATGTGCTACACAGTTTATGGGTGGTCAAGTTTATGTTTTCATTGTGTTGGACAAGAGCTTCTCTGCCTTTGAGGATTTGAAATCCATTGGTTCAAATCTATGGAAATAAGATACTCACTGTATTGGATGGCTGGACACGAAGAAATCAAATTTTGGAAGTATTACAGTGCTGAGCAAAGAGCAGTTGATTGAATTTGCATGGGGACTTGCAAATACTAAAATGAATTTCTTGGGATTGTTCGATCCGATTTAGTCATGGGTGATTCAACAATTTTACCTTATGAATTTCTTGCAGAGACTAAGGAAAGAGGTTTATTAAGTGGTTGGTGCCTTCAAGAACAAGTTTTAAGTCATGCGTCAATTGGAGGATTTTTAGGTCACTGTGGCTGGAATTCAACTTTCGAAAGCATATCATTTGGTGTGCCAATGCTATGTTGGCCTTTCTTTGCGGATCAACAAACGAATTGTTGGTTTAGTTGTAATCGTTGGGGTGTCGGGATTGAAATTGATAGTGATGTGAAGAGGGAAGTGATTGAGGAGGTTGTGAGAGAGTTGATGATTGGAGAAAAGGGTAAAGAGATGAAAGAAAATGCATTGAAGTGGAAGAATTTAGCAGAAAAAGCAATCACTTCTCCAACTGGATCATCTTATATGAATTTCGACAAGTTGGTTAGGGAAGTGCTATTGCCAAAAGCTTCTTCATTTCTTCCACTAGATTGACATGTTCAAATAATGTTCTACTTTTTTCTTATCTGTTTTTTATTTCTTAGAAAAAAATAAACTTGATATGTGCAAATATATTTTATATATTAACAATATGTATATAAATATATTTTATAACATTTTTCAAATATAAATGTAAACTAGGTTCTAGGCATCTAGTGAGTGGACGACTTTGGGCACTTGCTTTTTTTAGTTAGCCTTTAAATAATTAGGTTTTAAATTAAAAGATACTCCCATAATAAATACTCCATCAAACAATATGGCAAAAGCTATGCAAACACTCCTATTAAAAGTTTTAAGATCAAACAATAGGGCAATAAGGTTTTACTTTCTTGGCTTCTTAGTGAAAAACTGAAGTGTTTCTTCAAGAACACACTTGGGAAAAAAATGTTTTAATAATAGTGTATTTTGAGGTGATACTTAAAAAGTTTTTATAAAAAAATAAAAAATTAATCGAATCATACCAAACCGAAGAGAAACCGATATGATTGGAATGATTCTAAAAATCTAACTTTGATTATACATTATAAAATACATAAAAATTAGAATGATATAATTTTTTAAAAATAAACATGCGAACAGTCCCATTAACACCCCTCTGTCACATGTGATATAACATCCATCAAACTACAAAGACTTCTACAAGTACTAGACTAGAAATATTGGACTATGAGTCCTAATATTTTTTATAAGTAAATATTTGTGATTAATACATAATATAATTTTTTGAAGATCTATTGTCTTCAATATAACTTTTTATTATATCTTTTTACTCCTAGCATGAGTTTTTTGTGTTGCAAAATTTAAAATGATGATTTTTCTAAAAAAGATATGAATTACTATAAAAAAAAATTGGCAGATGGGTATGGGTATGGGGGGTGGGGGATACTTTTTGTTTTTGTTTTAGAAATATTAATTTAATTTCACTTATTGGGGAGAGAAATGAAGGTCAACGTCTATATACATACATTGCTAATGCTATTGGCTACTATTGTTATCTCCTCTTTATCTCAAGATTCTCTTCGTCAGCTCAAGTTTTAAACTAAGGTAATTACTTTAATGAAGTCTAAGTCTTCGTTTTTATCACATGACATGATATGTTACAAATAAAGCTTCGGGCCCTCGAGATCCAGAATTTAAATTTTATGAGTTCAACATTTATTCTGAACCTATTACTCCTATATGTTGCAGGGAATTAAGGAAGGATGGCACAATTTCTGCTACATGGTACTCTTCATGTTACTATATTCGAGGTTGATAGGCTTCATACTAATTTTGGCAGAGACTTTTTCAATAAGGTGAAAATTGCTTTCCACTATTCATATTCAGTTCCATATATATATATGATTTTATCCACAATGGATCTACGAAAAATTGGAAAAATTCCAGTAAATGACAAATCGAATGGAAGTATGTGTAGAACTGATCAAAATAGGAATGCCCGTTTGGTTTGATTTACTGTTGCAGATGAATTATGCAACTGACTTCTTAGAATTTAGGTATTTGGGAAATGGAAACATTAGTTAAGAGAAAGAAAAAAAAAAAGGAACTGTGTTTTTTTGTTTTTTATTTTCCACCTGATGTTTGGTACCTGTATTGGAGGTGATTAAATCCGATTTCATGTTGAATGCCCTCATTGTTTACTGGAAAAATCATCATTTTGGTTAACAGTACAATTTATTGCTTTCGGCCAAATCTCCAAGGGAGTAAACGAATACAAGTGTTAACATTGCTCAAAAGAATAGAAAAATACAAGCAGAGCCTTCTCCTATTGAAATTCTAAGAAAAGAAGATAAGAAGGCATTTGGGGTGACTTCTGGGATTTACTGTATGCATTCTCTTCCTTTGAGAAGACCCTTTTATAGGACAAAATAATTGAATTGTCGCTTCTGTGTGAAATGGCTACTCGCTTAGCACTGAAAAGGCTACTTTAGTAGCATGTGAGTGAGCTCTGACATTGGGCTCGAGACTGATTGAGGACAAGTTGGCACTAGATTCAAGAATGATTGTTGAATTATCTAAGGATCATTATGACGGTGTTCCAGTTATAGTGTGGTTCCTCCCCGGGAGGGGGTACGAAGCAGCCTTGGCTGTCCTGAGGTACTTCCATCGATCTCATACACATTATCTAGAATGACGATTGAAGTTTCAATATTTTTTCCAACACTTCTTTAGCATACAATTACAATTGTACAGAGTTTGACATGTTACAAGACAGTAACAAAATTATTTACTAGTAGATTAATGTACTTATTTTCTTGTAGGTGGTGCAAGGCATTGAGGGAGCTATTGGTTTCAACAAGGCAGCGTCAAGATTGTATGCAACCATTGATCTTGGAAAAGCCAGAGTTGGCAGAACCAGATTACTGGATGATCACAAAAATCCACGGTGGTACGAATCATTCCACATTTACTGTGCCCATATGGCTGCCAATGTCATAATCACCGTCAAATTTGATAATCCAATTGGAGCAGAAGTCATTGGAAGAGCTTACTTTCCAGTTCAACAACTTCTAGATGGAGAAGAAGTCGATGAATGGCTTGAAATCCTCAATACAGAACAAAAACCCGTGCATGGACACTCTAAAATCCATGTGAAGTTGCAGTATTTTGATGTCACAAGGGAATATAATTGGAATAGAGGTATAAAAGTCACAAGATTTCCTGGAGTTCCTTACACATTCTTTCGTCAAAGACAAGGATGCAGGGTCACCCTTTACCAAGATTGTCATGTTCCTGATAATTTCATCCCCAAAATTCCACTTTCTGATGGCAAGTTTTATAAGCCACAACGATGTTGGGAAGACATTTTTGATGCAATCACTAATGCAAAGCATTTGATTTATATAACTGGATGGTCTATTTATACCGAGATCACTTTGATAAGGGACAGGAGGAGGCCTAAGCCTGGTGGAGACATATCGCTCGGAGAGTTGCTTAAGAGAAAAGCTAATGAAGGTGTGAGAGTTCTAATGTTGGTCTGGGATGACAGGACATCGATTCCTGTGTTACAACAAGATGGGCTAATGGCTACTCATGATGAAGAAACTGCTAATTATTTTCGAGGCACTCAAGTAAATTGTGTGTTGTGTCCTCGAAATCCTGATGATGGACGGAGCATTATTCAAAATATAGAGATTGGGACAATGTTTACTCATCATCAAAAGATTGTTATTGTTGATGGAGAATTGCCTAATGGAGACAGGGAGAGGAGGAGAATTGTGAGTTATATTGGTGGGCTTGATCTTTGTGATGGTAGATTTGATACACAATTTCACTCCCTTTTCAGGACTTTGAACACAACACATCATGATGATTTTCACCAACCAAATTTCACCGGTACCTCAATTCAAAAAGGCGGACCAAGAGAGCCTTGGCACGATATCCATTGCCGAATAGAAGGGCCAGCTGCTTGGGATGTCCTTTACAATTTTGAACAGAGATGGAGGAAGCAAGGTGTAAGGGACTTGCCTATAGACCTAAGGGATATCGATAATATAATCATACCACCTTCACCTGTTATGTATCCTGATGATCATGACACATGGAATGTTCAAGTTTTTCGATCCATTGATGGGGGAGCAGCTTTTGGCTTCCCCAGTGCTCCCGAAGAGGCAGCCAAGTCTGGTCTTATAAGTGGAAAGGAAAACATCATTGATCGAAGCATACAGGATGCATATATTAATGCCATTCGTCGAGCAAAGCATTTCATTTACATCGAAAATCAGTACTTTTTAGGCAGCTGCTTTTCATGGTACTCCAATGATATCAAGGATGAAGCCATTAATTCTCTACAGTTGATCCCAAAGGAGCTGTCTTTGAAGATAGTCAGCAAAATTGAAGCAGGGGAAAGGTTTATGGTTTATGTTGTGGTTCCAATGTGGCCAGAAGGCCTTCCTGAAAGTGCATCTGTACAAGTAATACTGGATTGGCAAAGGAGGACCATGCAAATGATGTATACCGATATAATTCAAGCTCTTAAAGTAAAGGGAATTATGGCAAATCCTAAGGAATATTTGAGTTTCTTTTGCCTTGGCAATAGGGAAACAAAGAAGAGAGGAGAATACGAGCCTTCTGAAACACCAGAACCTAATTCCGGCTATCATAAAGCTCAAGAAGCCAGACGTTTCATGATTTATGTACATTCCAAAATGATGATAGGCAAGCTCAATTACAAATATATGTGTGTGATCCATACATTTCCAAAATTAAGTTCTTCATTAATGTTTCTGTTTTATTTGCAGTGGATGATGAATACATTATCATTGGTTCAGCTAACATCAATCAAAGGTCAATGGATGGTGCAAGAGACTCAGAGATAGCAATGGGAGCCTACCAACCATTTCATCTATGTGTGAAGGAGCCAGCTAGGGGTCAGGTTCATGGGTTTCGTATGGCATTGTGGTACGAGCACTTAGGCATGTTAGACAACAGGTTCCTTCAACCAGAGAGCGTAGAATGCATCCGAAAGGTGAACAAAATTGGTGACAAATATTGGGATATGTATTCAAGTGGAAACCTCATTCATGATTTGCCTGGACACCTTCTTACTTACCCTATTGGTATTACTGAAAATGGAGAGATCACTGAACTACCTGGAGTAGAATGTTTTCCTGACACCAAGGCACCTGTTCTTGGTACCAAATCTAATTATCTCCCTCCCATTCTCACAACCTAAATCTCCAACTTTTAATTTGTTCCATTCATTCTCTAGACCTGTATTTATGATTAAGGTGTACATGTTAATAAGGTTTCTTATTAAGGAATGAAAGGTTAATATCACCCTAGGACATTCACTACTAAATGTTCAGCAGCTATTCTCAATATTTCAATGGAAATGGAGTGGGAGAATCATGTTTCATGACACAAATTTTCCGTTGGCCAAATGACAAAAATAAGAACAAATGTTAAACGAGATATGACAACATTAGCGGGTTAAGGTTAAGTTTGCTCTTTACTTTCTGTCCCGTTTATTATTCTTTAATTTTCACATGTATACTTTTCATATTTCAAATTCTCTTTGTGAAAATTTTACTTTCACCACTGTCTTTTATCATCTTGGAATCATATTCACTTCATTCTTATTTTGCTAATATTGAAAGAAAACAAAATTGCCAAAGGAATGACATTCCTCTAGGTAACTAATACATCTTTCAAAAAGAAAGTTAACTTTGATTTTCCTTTTTCCTTATTTTTTCAACGTGAGTGTTCAAGGCAAAGACTCGTATTGATAACGTAAAAAGTAGGAAGAGAGAAAAAAAAAGTATTTCTCTTGAAAGATGAAAATACCATAAATAAGAGCTTCTCTATTTACGGAGAAAAACTAAATTGGTTCAACTCTAACTCTTTCCTAAAAATAGATAAAGATAAATAAACACTATAATATACAAAAATATATTTATAACTATTAGATATTTAGTTGTATTCCCGCAAGTGATAAGACCTTTATTTTATTAGGAAAAAAAAAATCCTAATTTTAGAAAAAGAAAACACAAATTTGTGTTTTTCATGTAATAAAAAAAAAAAGGAATTAATGTTGTCGTGTTCAAAAAACATCTATGTCCAAACACTACTGATTGAAAAGTGTCGTTTACCTAAGCACAAAGTGGAGCTCTTTCATTGGTACGAAAAAGATAATAGTACTTAATCAATCCGTCCCATAATATTAAAATATGAATGTTCGTGGATGTTTCCTATTCGTCTAGAGATAAGCAGTATTTAACGGTCAAATTTCTAAAATCAATTTATTTTGAAAAATATTTTTGATGAAAATAATTTGTGTTTGATTAATAAAATTTAGGGATAATTTCAGAGGCTTCTCCTTAGATATTGCTCTATCATACTCACCTTCCTCGTGGTTTATGATATTACGTTTATTTTTATTATTTTATTTTTTTGTAATATCGCAAATTAAGAGGGAAGTTAGTGACAGAGCGCGCAATACCTGAGTTGATTGAGAAGATCCTTTCAGTTGGCTAAAATCCGTTATTCGAAAAATATATGATACTGTGGAATGATATTTATTTCCATTCTTGTTCCTTTTTTCCGTTTGCGGGTTTCTGGAAACTACATCAATTTTGTTTTCTTGCATCTCTTTGAGTAGCAATACTTTAGAAAAGAATTTTTAAGTGTATTTTTCTCAAAAATACTTTAAGAAAACAGTACTTTTTTAAATTTCTAAAAAATAAACAATTTGTGCCATTTTTAAAAACACTGATTTTCTCCTAAAAATTTGATCAAACATCTTATTTTTTAAAAATAAATTCTTTCTAAAAAATTAAGCATTTTAAAAAAATAAAATAAAATAAGATCGACCAAACCTACTGTTAACCAAGAATTGTGATTCACTAAGGTACAAATTATTAAATATATATCCCTGAAATATTTTTTTATTTTATGTCATTTGTTGCGTTTTTAATTGGAAAAATTACATAAATTCCACATTTTAGTTTACTTATTACCATTATCCCCTATAAATTTTACAAATCTCCAAAATTCCACATTTTCGCGCATCAAATTAGTGTATCTCGCGCAGTAGATTAGTGTATCATGTATAAAATGTAATGTATCTTAGTTAACAATTAATGTATCTCACGCATCAGATTAATGTATCAGCGCTTACATTATTGTATCCGTTTGAGGAATTTCTGTAATTATAAACTTTTAAGGGATAAATTGTAATTTTGCTTTAAAAGTAAGTGATTTATGTAATTTGCCCTTATTAATTTATGAGAGCCCACATCATTTATATTTTTCCCTTTTCCTAACGCACTCCAATTTGGCTTTGACATTTGTCACGATTAATAGGCCTTGACAAACAAAATGCGAAATTAATTCTAAAATACTCCTTCAGTTTCGATTTACTCGTCAAATTTGGATTTGATATATCTATTAAGAAAAGGGAAAAGGCTCAAATTTATCATCGAACTTTGAGAAAAAGTTTATTTATATCATTATTTCTCCCGTGAATTAAAGGAGTAATTAATTTTTTTACAAATTACATCACACAAGTATATTAGTAAAGAGTCACGATCTTATATTTTTGATGCATGACCCTTTATTTTACATTCAACCGAAGGAAATTATGTACTAAAAAAACATATCCTTCCTAAAGATCATTCACCTTTGTTCTTACTAAAAAAAGAGTAAAAAAAATGCTTTGTTCATCTCTAAAGAAGTTGATCCCCCAAATCTTAGCTTGCCCATTCCTTGTATATCACATGATGTTGTTTACTCCAATATTTTTCATATTTATAAATGACAAATGCAGGGATAATTCAAAAATTATAAGAGAATGTGTATAGTCAAGAGTAAGATAAGTGTGAATTAATCATGATATAAATGCATGAGAATATTAACATTTTTTCTTGGATAACTTGACTTTTTGCTAATACATGAACCATATTAAATTGCTTGTAAATCTCAAAATAACCTTGGAAATTCCTAAACAAGATCTGTTATTTTTTTTCTGTGTGCGCATTGAAACATTAACGATTGCGTAATGATTTAGTTTCTAAGCATAAGTTATTAGATGAACAGTGTTAATTTAGTGAATGAAAAATGGTCATTTAATTTTTTCAGAAACATTTAATATTTAATTAATTATTTTTTTATAAAAAAAAAAATTAGTGTAGGGGTAAAATGGTAATCCAATTTTGCAATTTGATGCTTTCTACTTTTAATATAATATTATTATTATTATTATATATATATATATATATTATTATTATGATAATATAATATGATGATGATATGATATGATGATGATGATTAAATGAAATATACAAATAGATTATAGATGATAAATATTATTAAATTAGATATTTTAATTAGGAATTAATCTAAGGAAGTGCAAACGCCATTAACATTTTTATTAAAATGATACAATTTAACATTTAAATTAAATAATTAAATGTTTTTATAACATTTTAATTCATAATAGGGGTAAAATCGCAATTCAACGTTTAACTTTTTTTGTTCCCACTTATAGTAATACTAGTTTCTGGATACATGCGGTGCACGTGTGTTCCATGAGAATTTTCATAGATTTGTTGGAATAATTAAAATTTTATGAAAACATGTAGTGAGTAATAAAATGCAATTTTAATTATTAACATATCTTTAAAATATGGCAAAAAGTACCAAATAAGGAGCGTATTTTATTGTTTAAAATCAAGTTCTTTAAAGCAATCAACTGTAAGTTTTGAATTTTGGTTAGTAGTTAGCAAACTTTCAATAAAGCCAAAAATGACTAATCAATCAGAAATTCATAGAAAATGAAATTTAAAAAGTCTAATAGATAGAGAACACAAAAAAATACAATGTATTCATCTTTGTTAAGACTTTAATCATACAGTATAGATGTAAACAGAAATACAGAAATAGTACATAATTTTCCGAGTTCTTGTCGTCTCTTTCCATCATAGCCAATCAAAATTCAAGATCCTTCTTTGTCGAGTCAAACTAAAGAATGAATCAATAGAACAAAATTGATATAAATGTTTCACTACTTTAACTATAGAATGAAAAGGATACCTAAGGATCTCATGAAACAAAGAAGATGATTTTGTATAAATAAAATTGGAGGAACACCAAAAGTTATCTTAAAATATTAAATTAAATATTTAGAGGTTGTGAATATGAAAAGTACGAGAGTTATAGATATAGATATATATTAATAGTAGCAATTGAATATGTAGTTAGATATGAGATATGAAGGTGGATATTTAAAGCAAATAAAAGAGAAAAATAATAAATAAATGAAAGGATATAAGTTTCATAAAACCAAACTTTAAAAAATAACAAATATATAATATAAGACGTACAAAAAAAATTGAAAAAATATTCAAATGTGTTAATTAAGCTTAAGAAACATTAAAAAATAACAAATATATAATATAAGACGTACAAAAAAAATTGAAAAAATATTCAAATGTGTTAATTAAGCTTAAGAAACATTTTTGGAAGAAAATAAAAATATGTATGCAATAACCATCATAAATGTATATGTAATTACCATTGGGTATTCAATAATTGAGAAATATGCGGCCAAGAAATGTGGATTTGGTTATTAAAATTTAGTAGGTTGTAGTTATTAGAAAATGTTCTATTAATGAAGCAAAGAAATTAGGGGGTTTAGGTTATTAGAATTTGGGGGGTTGTAGTTATTTGACTTATTTCTAAGTATTAATGCAACCAAGAAATGAAGGATTTTGGTTATTGAAATTTAGGGCTTGTGTATATTGCAACACGTAAAGTTAATCTAAATTTGTAATTCATTTAATGCATTACGATAAATGTATGTTACTTCATGAAAACATTAATGTCTTTCTAATTCACCATGCTTTACTATGATGTGGAAGTTATGAAAATGAAAAGGTGTGAATTATAGAGTTAATCTTTTAAATAAAGTAATTAGAAATAAGAAATACTTTAAAGTAGAATATTAAAATGCCTACTTTATGGAGTTAATATATATATATATATATTATGAAAATGTGTGAAATATGGAGTTAATATATATATGTTAAGTAAATTGAAGGAGAAAAATAAAAATAAATACAATTTTTTTTTGAAAAAATGTAACTAATTTAGTTTTTAAAAGGATAAAAATGTCTAACAATTTTCTATGAATATTTTCTCCTTTAAATTTTTGACTTAACACCTTTTCACTTTTAGAATTAGTATAATATAATATATAGTAATATTATATAATTACTATTTAATATTTAATTGATTAGCAATTTTATAATATTTTTATTTAGTGGGGGTAAAATGGAATTTCAACTTTAAACACTTTTTTTGTTCCCACTTTTAGTAATATATGATGATATGATGATAATGGTATGATTTGATATATTAGAGGT